AGTTATGTTTTCATGTGATTATCGTTATATAGACTACTGCCGCTCCAAATCCGTTTGACGAAGGAATGGAGAACGGAGTAGACGAGAAGGGACAGACACCGGGGAAGGACACTTTAGAGAAAGGCGGCTTAGAGAAGGATACCACAGATATGGAGATTGAACCCAAGAATGTCGCCAACAAGGACACATTTGAACTGAAAACGGACCTCGAAACGCGCGAGGGTGAAGTAGAGAACAGAGAAATGGATGTCGATAATAGAGATACTGATGTTGAGAATGTTGAGGTACGATTTAATGTACAGGTTTGAAGAATTAATTTAGGCGCAAACAGCCTGTAGAAGGCAGTTCATGAGTCACCTTTTTTCCGACGAATTCCACATTTTCAGGTCGACATGGTTGAGGATTCAGCCAGTGAAGAAGACGATGCATGCACACCTCCAGATGCTGCTATGGATGTTAATGTCTCCTGCGATGATGAGTGTGCAGAGCCCATCAAGAAGTGTAAGCCATTCCGCGATAATATCGTTAGTGATAGAAGCTGCCAATTTTTATTCTTCAGTTGAAGATATGCCTCGCTGTGAAAGCGACTACATGACGGAAGAAGAGGACGATCCTGATGATCTGTACAAGCCGGAGGGCACAATATACCTCGACATTGATGGGTTCAGTCAGTTCTGTAAAGGATCACCCGAGACACAGCAACGCCTCTCAAAACCAGTATTTGTTCGAGGCCTTCCATGGAAGATTTTAGCGATTCCAAGGCGTGTTGCCTTATATTGAACCTCCAAATTAATCACTTGCAATGTATACTCCCTTTCAGAGATGCAGCGCGAGTTGGAACTGGTACGAGACCTAACAAAGCTCTCGGTTTTTTTCTTCAATGCAATGGGGATTCTGACGCGGTCGCTTGGAACTGTATAGCGTCAGCATCATTGAAGGTAATACGTCATGCCATTGGATTTCTAAAAAAAACGTTTTTCAACTGAAACTTGTTCATGTATTTGCGGCTTTCTCACTAAATCTGCTAACATTAATAGGAATTAAGTAGGATATAAGAAACGTATGGCTTTCGGTGGCCTATCCAATCTCCTTTTTAAGCTATGGTTGAATATAAAAGATGATTTGCTTTGCAAATTTATTGGACCTCACT